TCCTGGGGGATCTCCCTGAGATTTTTGCTCAAGGCTACTGCTCTACCACTTAAGTGACAGCTCTACTTCAGGCTATTTGTAGTTAATTCGAGTGAAGAGTTTCAGTGACTTTCCTGCACAGCTGGCTTTGAACTGTTATCCTCACATCTTAGCTTCCTAAGTAGGATTACAGCCATAAGCTATTGGTGCCTAGCATATAATATTTTTAATAACTTTCTGACCCAAGCCCCTGTCAAAGAACAGCTATTGTTTAGTTGCTTTGGGTTCTTCATTATTATGAACAAGACTGCAATGAAGTGGCCCAAATTGTAGAGCACCAGCCATGAGCAAAAAGGCTGAGTGAGCCGGGCACCAGTACCTCACACCTGTAATCCTAGCTACTCAGGAGGCTGAGATCTGAGGATCAAGGTTCAAAGCCAGCCCGGGCAGGAAAGTCTGTGAGACTCTTATCTCAAATAAACCACTTGAAAACGGGAAATGGTGCTGTGGCTCAAGCGGTAGAGCACTCGCCTTGAGCTGAAGAGCGCTCGCCTTGAGCTGAAGAGCACAAGGACAGCTCCCAAGCCCAGAGTTCAAGCCCCATGACTGACCAAAAAAAAAAGGCTGAGTGAGAATTCGAAGCCTAAAGCCTAAAGTTCAAGACCCAGTACTGGAACAAAAGAAGGGGGGGAGGTGGAGCCAGACACAGGAGGCTCATGCATGTAATCCTAGCTACTCAGAAGGCTGAGGCCTGAGGATCACAATTCAAAGGCAGCCCCAGTAGGAAAGTCTGTGAGTCTCTAATCTCCAAAAACCAGAAGTGGCACTATGGTTCAAGTGGTAGAGCACTAGCCTTGAGCTGAAGAGCTGAGGATCAGTGCTTCAAGCCCTACAACCAACAAAAAAAAAAAAAAAAGAGGGAGAAAGAAAGAGACTACAACGAATATGCTTTTATGATGCATACCAGAGGTATATACTTCTACAGTAAGCAAACATCTATGCTGTGCTCATAGAAAGTAGCATTTCTAGTTCAAAAGACTTATGCATTAAAAATTTTAATAGACACACCTCAAATTTGTCTTTGAGGAAATTACACCAACTTAGATATATTTGAACAATCAAGTAGAAGAACATTCACACTGGACTGAGAATGTAGCTTAGTGGTAACGTGCTTGACTAGCATTGCATGAGGCCCTGGGTTCAATTCCTTAGTACTACATAAAGAGAAAAAGCCAAAAGTGGCACTATTGCTCAAGTAATAGCCTTGAGCAAAAGAAGCTCAGGGATAGATCCCTGGACCTCAGTTCAAGCCCCAGGACTGGCAAAACATTATTATTTCTTCCAATCTATAAAAAAATGGTACAATATTTTGTTAGTTTTCATTCTTTAACCATAAGGGATATTGAAGTTCTTTTCAAATGTTTATTGGCCAATCTATACACTGCCTTTATGAAACTACATTTATTTGTGAATGTGGTTTATAAATTGTTTATTACCTCTACAGTTTAGTTACTTTTCTAGTTGCACAAGAACTTTCTGAATATCATGTGTAATTTCTTTTTTTTTTTTTTTGGGGGGGGGGTCCAGTCATGGGACCTGAACTCTGGGCCTGGGTGCTGTCCCTCAGCTCTTCAGCTCAAGGCTAGCGCTCTACCACTTGAGCCACAGCACCACTTCCGGATTTTTTTTTCTGCTTATGTGGTGCTGAGGAATCGAACCCAGGGCCTCATGCATGCAAGGCAAGCGCTCTACCTTCCCAGCCCCCATGTGTAATTTCTTATACAATTAAAATCACCTCTCTGAGCAGCTGTTCTTTCTTGGTGTCTGATTTTTACCCAGATCTTATTAATGTTATTTCTAAACAGAAATGGTGCTTGACTATATAGACAAGAGAGCCTCATTTCTGCAGACATCACTTTTGTAGGGCATCCAGCCCTGACTGTTCATTAATATTCCCCTCCAGTGCATAATGCAGTGAGGAGGCTGACAGACAGGATGTGACAACCCATCATTAAGAGAAGGTCGCTGTTTGGGATTTTGCTTCTAGAAGGTCTATTGCTTCCCAGTTGGATGGTGGCACCTTACAGATTAGGATTATCTATGCAAGTTAAATCTCTCCTATGAATACCAATGAAATGGGTTGTCTATGATTCCAGGTCAAAAATACCTTTGGAACTTTGTTCCCAGGGTTATTAGCCAGAGCAAGAAGGCAGAAACAGACTCAAACTGCCACCACCCAGACAGACTATGTCAAAATGAAGTTAAAGTTTGAGCCATGCTATAACATAAGCCTGAGGATTGGTTATTAAATATGGTTGTCAGGCACCAGTGGCTCATACCTATAATCCTAGCTATTCAGAAGGCTGAGATCTGAGTATCACAGTTCAAAGCCAGCCTGGGCAGGAAAGTCCATGAGACACTTATTCCAATTAACTACCACAAAACCAGAAGTGGTATTGTGGCTCAAGTGGCAGAGCACTTGCCTTGAGCTGAATAGCTGAGGGACAATGCTCAGGCCCAGAGTGTAACCCCAGGACTGACAAAAAAAGAAGAGCCGGGCGCTGGTGGCTCACGCCTGTAATCCTAGCTACTCAGGAGGCTGAGATCTGAGGATCGCGGTTCAAAGCCAGCCCGGGCAGGAGAGACTGTGAGACTCCTATCTCCAATAAACCACCAGAAAGCCGGAAGTGGCGCTGTAGCTCAAGTGGTAGAGCGCTCGCCTTGAGCTGAAGAGCTGAGGGACAGCGCCCAGGCCCAGAGTTCAAGCCCCACGACCGACAAAAAAAAAAAAAGAAGAAAATTGTAGACCAGGGATTTGAAAATATCTGCCTTCACATTAAGTGCCTTAAAACTAGAAATGGTAAGGGCTTGGCCAGAAGCTGCAGCCTAGCTCATAGCACCTAGCCTACTCTGCCCCAAGACTCCTTAAAGCTCAAGGTGACATACTGAGTTTACTATTTACTGAGTAACAGAAAATTTCCCTAAACCTATCATCTCCAAAATGTTCTTTTAGCACATTGTTAAAATAAGTGCTTAATAAACAATGATTGTAGTGGTAATAAAAAATATATACCTAAAATTGTTTGAGCATTTACCACATAGCAGAAGCTGCTTGAATTGCTTTCCATACCTAAATGTACTTATCCCTCACAGTAATGTGCTCATAAGTAATATCACCCCACTTTTTTTTGGGGGGGGGGTTCCAGTCGTGGGGCCTGAACTCTGGGCCTGGGCACTGTCCCTCAGCTCTTCAGCTCAAGGCAAGTACTCTACCACTTGAGCCACAGCGCCACTTCCGGCCTTTTTTTTCCTGCTTATGTGGTGCTGAGGAATCGAACCCAGGGCCTCATGCATGCAAGACAAGCGCTCTACCACTGAGCCACCTTCCCAGCCCCCCCTTTTTTTTTGCTGAGTAGTATTCAGATAAATTAGGGCCTAGAGAAGTTAAATATTTTATTTTTATTTTATTTTATTTTTTTGTTGGTTGTGGGGCCTAAACTCTGGGCCTGGGTGCTGTCCCTCCCTCAGCTCTTCAGCTCAATGCTAGCATTCTACCACTTGAGCCACAGTGCTACTTCTGGCTTTTTCTGATTATGTGGTGTTGAGGAATCCAACTTAGGGCCTTATGCATGCCAGGCAAGTTCTCTACCACTGAGCCACTTTCCCAGCCCAAGAGAAGCTAAATAAAGTTACTTTTTTTGGTGCCAGTCCTGGGACTTGAACTTGTCCCTGAGCATATTTTCTCAAGTCTAGTGCTCTACCACTTGAACCACAGCTCCATTTCTGGCTTTTGTGTGTGTGATTAATTATAGATAAGTCTTAATTATAGTTAAGAGTCTGACTGGGCTGGCATTGAACAGAGATCCTCAGATCTCAGCCTGCTGAGTATATAGGCTAACAGTTGTGAGTCACCAATGCTTGGCTGAAAGTTATTCATGTTTTTGTTTTGTTTTGTTTTGTATTATTTAGTTTTGTTTTGCCAGTCCTGGGGCTTGAACTCAAAGCCTGGGCTCTGTCACTGAGCCTCTTTGTGCTCAAGGCTAGCAATCTACCACTTGACCCACAGCGCTTCTTCTGGCTTTTTCTGAGTAATTTATTGAATGAGATATGAGTCTCTCAGACTTTCCTGCCTGGGCTGGCTTTGAACTGTGATCCTCAGATCTCAGCCTCCTGAGTAGCTAGGATTACAGGCATAAGCCACCAACATCCAACTTGTGTGTGTGTGCGTAGCAGTTCTGGAGTTTGAACTCAAGGCCTGGGTGCTGTTCTTGGGGTTTTTTTGTTTTGTTTTAAATAAGTTTTTTATTGTGAAAATACTGTACAGAGGGGTTACAGTTACTTGAGCAAGGTAATGAGTACATTTCTTATCAAGCATTGTTGACTCTTCCTTTGTTTTTCCCCTACTATGCCATCCCTCCCACCTCCTCACCTCATCCTACCCCTAGCCTAAATTGTAAAGTTCATTTTTCGACAGTGTCTTGTACATCTCCTTGCAATGGGTCAATCTGTATCCCTATTTAAACAATTTTCCCTTCCCCTCCCCAAATTATATCAGCATCAAAAACAGTGAAAAAAGCAGTTATACAGTGGGGGAACATACAAAGCAACAAAAAAAAAATCACATGGTACCTTATAAATACGTTAGAAACAAAACAAGGAAGAAAAAAACACTTGTGTCCCTATCTTGGGATTCATTTCGCTTAACATCATCTTATCTGACCTTTTCTGCTTGTCCCCAACATATCCTAGATATTGCAAATAAGGGAAGCCATGGGACCTATGTTTCTTCGGGCCTGGCTTACTTCACTTAATGTAATTTTTTCCAAGTCTTTCCATTTCCTAACAAATGGGGTAATGTCATTCTTTCTGATGGAAGCATAGAATTCCATTGTGTATATATACCACATTTTCTTGATCCATTCATCTACTGAGGGGGATCTGGGTTGGTTCCATGTCTTAGCTATGGTAAATAATGCTGCAATAAGCATAGTTGTGCTGGTAGCTTTAGTATGGTCTTGTTTAAAAATATGGAATGCTTCACCAATTTGTGTGTCATCCTTGTGCAGGGGCCATGCTAATCTTCTCTGTATCATTCCAATTTTAGTATGTGCTGCAGAAGCGAGCACCCTGAGTTGTTGTTGTTGTTGTTGTTATTTTCTTTTGTCAGTCATAAGGCTTGAACTCTGGGCCTGAGCGCTGTCCCTGCACTTTTCAGCTCAAGGCTAGTGCTCTACCACTTAAGCCACAGCGCCACTTCTGGTTTTCCAGTGGTTTATTGGAGATAAGAGTCTCACAGACTTTTCCTGCCGGGGCTGGCTTTGAACCATAAGCCTTAGATCTCAGCCTCCTGAGTAGCTAAGATTACAGGTGTGAGCCACCGGCACCCACCTGTCCCTGAGTTTTTGTGCTCAGGACTAGAGCTCTCCCAAGTGAATCATAGCTTCATTTCTGGCTTTTGGCAGTTAAGTGGAGATAAGAGTCTCACTAACTTTCCTGCCTGGGTTGGCTTCAAACCACAATCCCCAGATCTCAGCATCCAAAGTAGCTAGGATTACAGGTATAAGCCTCTGGTACTCAGCCTTTTTTTTCTTCTGTAAACAATCCCTAATCTGTTTAACTGTACCTCTCTACCAAATAATAACACTATTTCTTTCTTTTTTGGGGGAGGGTCCGGTCGTGGGGCCTGAACTTTGGGCCTGGGCGCTGTCCCTCAGCTCTTCAGCTCAAGGCTAGTGCTCTACCACTTGAGCCACAGCGCCACTCCCGGCTTTTTTTCTTTTTGCTTATGTGGTACTGAGGAATTGAACTCACGGCCTCATGCATGCAAGGCAAGCGCTCTATCACTGAGCCACCTTCCCAGCCCCCAAACACTATTTATCTACTTGATGCTTCTCTGCCTTTCCATCCTGTTGACAATTAGCTCATTGAAAGAGGAAACAATCCAACAGCAACTTTTAAAATTGTTTTTGTCAGTCATGGGGCTTCAACCTAGGGCATGGGCACTGGCCCTTGGCTTTTTCACTCAAGTCTAGCACTCTACCATTTTTGAGTCATAGCACCCTTTTGGTTTTCTGGTGGTTAATTGGAAATAAGAGTCTCACAGACTTTCCTGCTCTGGCTGGCTTCAAACCGAAATCCTCAGATCTCAGCCTCCTGAGTAGCTAGGAATATAGGCATGAACCACTGGCCCCTGACTTCAATGGCAATTTTTTTTTTGTCAGTTGTGGGACTTGAACTTTGGACCTGGGCACTGTCCCTCAGCTCATCAGCTCAAAGTAAGTGCTCTACCATGTGAGCCATAGCGCCACTTCTGGTTTTTGGTAGTTAACTGGAGATAAGAGTCTTATGGACTTTCCTACCTGGGCTGGTTTTGAATCGTGATCCTCAGATCTCAGCCTCCTGAGCAGCGAGGAGTACAGGTGTGAGCAACCAGCACCCAGCCTTCAATGGCAATTTTTATAATATACTTTTACAAATAGTAAGAAAATCTCCTTCAGTAAGTAGAAAACCATATCATTATGTCAGTATCTTTTTTCTTTTTTTTGTCGGTCGTGGGGCTTGAACTCTGGGCCTGGGCGCTGTCCCTCAGCTCTTCAGCTCAAGGCGAGTGCTCTACCACTTGAGCTACAGCGCCACTTCCGGTTTTCTGGTGGTTTATTGGAGATAAGAGTCTCACGGTCTCTCCTGCCCGGGATGGCTTTGAACCGAGATCCTCAGATCTCAGCCTCCTGAGTAGCTAGGATTACAGGCGTGAGCCACCAGCGCCCGGCTTATGTCAGTATCTTTAAACTTTAGGTGAAAAGTAGAAAAAACTATGCAGGTATTGGTGGCTCATGCCTGTAATCCTAGCTACTCAAGAGGCTAAGATCTGAGCATCATGGTTCGAAGTCAGCCCAGACAAGAAAGTCTGTGAGACTCTTATCTCCAGTTAATGATAAAAAAAAAAAGGGGGGGGGGCTGGGAAGATGGCTTAGTGGTAGAGTGCTTGCCTTGCATGCATGAGGCCCTGGGTTTGATTCCTCAGCACCACATAAGCAAAAAGAAAAAAAGCCGGAAGTGGCGCTGTGGCTCAAGTGGTAGAGTGCTAGCCTTGAGCTGAAGAGTTGAGGGACAGCACCCAGGCCCAGAGTTCAGGCCCCATGACCGGACCCAAAAAAAAAAAAAGCTGGACATGGACCTGTGGTTCAAGTAATAGAGTACTAGCCTTGAATTGCGAAAGGTCAGGGAGAGTTCAAGTCAGAACCAGAAAAAAAAAAAAAGTAGGAAAAACTAGACTAGAAAAAGAATGGAAAATGGAAATTAACAATTGATCAAGGTTACAAAGCACAGATTTTTCTTTTTTTCTTTTTTTTTGGGGCGGGGGTCCAGTTGTGGGGGCCTGAACTTTGGGCCTGGGCACTGTCCCTTAGCTCTTCAGCTCAAGGCTAGCACTCTACCACCTGAGCCACAGTGCCACTTCTGGCTTTTTTCTTTTTGCTTATTTGGTGCTAAGGAATAGAACCCAGGGCCTCATGCATGCAAGACAAGCGCTCTACCACTGAGCTACCTTCCCAGCCCCGAGATTTTTCTCTTGACAACATGTTTCTCCTTTAATTTATGTACCATTTTATATTCTTTAATGTTAGATGCATCACGTATTGGTGGCTAGTACTGAGCAGAGGCTCAACAAGTATCTATTATATGAATGAAAAACAGTGTTATACAATACCCAATTGTTATATATCCCAACACAGGCCCATTTTCACAACTGTATACCTGCCTAGAAACTATATGCTCACAGGTCTTAGCCAATTGCATGTTTAATTAAGACAAGTAGTTAATTAAAGTCTTCTTTACAAGAACAAAGCACAAGAGATATATACTCTTATTTTATAAAGATGGCTTCTGATAAAGATAAAACCTTCTTATACCTAAGTCTCTTCTCCTTAATAATTAATGAAGTTTTCTCCAAACACAGGGCTTCTTAGTTTCACTCCTGCCATTTCCAGGATGGCCTGGCTTCCATTATTCTTATCTGAAATTTTAGAAGATTTTTTTCAGTACTTATTCAGCTCAATTTAACCAATCCCTTCATGCAGAAGAATTAAAACAAGTTTATTCAAAAGTGACTCTTCTTGAGGCAACTTCTATAATCTTTCCTTTCTGTAAAAATCTGAGAAGCTAACACAAAACAATGATTTAATCAGGACAAGTATAACTGAGGCTGGTACTATAAAGAATTACCACACCATACAGCCACCAAAGTGACCAAGTTTAGCTGCTTCTAGAAACCAATGATGTTCTTCTTTCTTTCTTTTTTTTTTTTTTTTTTTTTTTGCTGGTCCTGGGCCTTGAACTCAGGCCCTGAGCCTCTCTGTACTCAAGGCTAGTATTCTATCACTTAAGCCATAGCACCATTTCCAGCTTTTTCTGTTTATGTGGTATTGAGGAATTGAACCCAGGGCTTCATGCATGCTAGAGAGCCACTCCATCATTAAGCCACATTCCCAGCCCTCATCTTATTTCTTTAAGATTGGTTATAAAGAATGTTCCAAATGAATTTTAATATTTGTCTTCTAAAACTACACTGAATTATGGAACTGTAAAACAAGTTAAGATGTATATGTTACATAATGGTCTTGAATTGACATGGGGAAAGTCAACTTCTTTGGTCTCAATGTCTTTATCTCAAAAACAGATTAATTCACACAATGATTATAAAAGTTAAAGTGCCAGGATAAAGGTAAAAGTTATATATAAGTTACAACAAAAGCATATATTAAATACAGTTTCAAAGTTGAGCACTGGTGGCTCATGCCTATAATCCTAGCTACTCAGACAGTTGAAATCTGAGGATCACAGTTTATAGCCAGCCTGGGCAGGAAAGTCCATGAGACTCTTATCTCCAATTAACCACCAGAAAACCAGAAGTGGTGCTGTGACTTGAGTGGTAGAACGTTCACCTAGAGCTAAAATGCACAGGGACAGTGCCCAGGCCCAAAGTTCAAGTCCCATGACTGACCAAAAAAAAAAAAAGGCAGAAATAGAGCTGTGGCTCAAGTGGTAGAGCACTAGCTTGAGCAAAAGAAGCTCAGGAACAGCAGTCAGGCCCTGAGTTCAAGCCCTAAGACCAGCACAAAACATAAACAAAAACAAAAACACAATTTCAAGCCAGTGCTGTGAAAAATAATGGGATTTTAAAAACAAGGCAGGGGCTGGGAAGGTGGCTCAGAGGTAGAGTGCTTGCCTTGCATGCATGAGGCCTTGGGTTCGATTCCTCAGCACCACATAAGCAAAAAGAAAAAAGCCGGAAGTGGCACTGTGGCTCAAGTGGTAGAGCCCTAGCCTTGAGCTGAAGAGCTGAGGGACAACGCCCAGGCCCAGAGTTCAGGCCCCACGACCGGACCCAAAAATAAAAATAAAAACAAGGCAATTCAATGATGAGAAATAAGAATAAATTAGAAACAGTTAGTGTCTGGTTCCAGTAGGTGTTAACAAGAAAGTCCTTGTTTGAAGTAGTTGCTGAAAAATCTTATCATTACACTTTCCTTGAAATGGCATGTAGTAAGGAAAAAAATTTCATCTTTCTTCAGAGGAGGGAAGCAGAAGAAAATTGTAAGTTACCTAATGATTTTAATCAATTAGGTTCTAATTTAGCTATGCATGATTTTTAGAAGCATAATGAGAGCTGAAAGAGTAGTATTATCCAGCCTTAACATCTCTGAAAGATGTCTACACTGGTAGTAAAAACAGTGGCCTGAATCCTGGGAACACCTCAGAAAGCCTGTACTCAGATGGAACTGAATCCCAACTGTGACTGTATGGAAGCTTTTGTCCTGCAACCTTCAGAAATCTTCAGACTACTGCCTGATTTGAACCCAGATAGAACTACCTCATTCTAGCTGTTGTCCTTAAAAAAAAAAAAAAAAATCTACCAACACACTACCACTGTGGACTGCAAACCAAAGCAAGCCTTGTTAAAATGAGAAGTGGATCATCAAGGCTTATTCATTCAACCAAATATTTATTGAGCCCTTACCATGCATTGGGCAGTTCTCTAAGCCTAAGGCTAATACAATATTAACAACGACAGACAAGGTCTCTGCTTTCATGAAATTTCCACCCTACTGGGGAAGCAGGACAAT